TCCTCCTCCTCGTCCTCCTCCTCCTCCTCCTCGTTCTCCTCCTTCTTCTCCTCCTCCTCCTCCTTCTCCTCCTCCTCCTCCTCCTCCTTCGCGATCCTCGATCCCTCCCGAAGCCGAAGCGCGCCCAGGGGCTCCACGGATAGCGCGGGGCCGTCCAGTTAGGGCCCATGGAGGCCCAAAACCGCGGAAAAGTGCACGCCGTGATTCCTTCAACGCGAGGGGGCGCAGGTCTCGCACCAGCCGCGCCCCACTTCTGGATCCGAGTCCGACACCTCGTCGCTCCCGGGCCGGCGCCGGCCCGCGCCCAGCGCAGCCCCGGAGGCCGGCTCCGCCCCGCGCTATCCGTGGAGCCCTTGGGCGCGCTGCGGCTTCGGGAGGGATCGAGGATCGAGGAGGGGGAGGGGGAGGAGGAGGAGGGGGAGGAGGAGGAAGAGGGAGGGGGAGGAGGGGAGGAGGAGGAGGAGGAGGAGGAGGAGGAGGGAGGAGGAGGAGGAGGAGGAGAAGGCGGAGAAGGAGGAGGAGGAGGAGGGAGGGGAGGAGGGGAGGAGGAGGAGGAGGAGGAGGAGGAGGAGGAGGAGGAGGAGGAGGAGAAGGCGGAGAAGGAGGGACCTATGCTGCTGGCTTCTCGCCGTCTTTCTCGGCCTCGAGCTCCGCCGCCCCTGGGCCCCCCGGCGCTGAGATCCTGGCGTCTCAACTTTTTCCGAGCCGGGCGTGTTCGCTTTTTTTTCTGGGGCCCAAGGACCCTCACAGATCGATCCAGCTCGAAAAATGACGCAGAGAGACGGTCTAGGGCTCCGGGCGTGATTGTTTACGATGTTGCAAATGTTTCGCTGCGTCGGATCTCAGGGTCGGGGGCCGTGCTCGAGACGACCTGGGGCATTCCAGGAAGGACCCTCGCCTCTGAGGGTCGAAGGGCGCCGACGCTCCCAAAAGCTTGGAGCGACGGGATTTGGGCAGTTTTCGGCCCCTGGGGGCCCTCGCCGGGCCTCGGGACCGTCAAAGAATGATTCAGGATAACAAAACCGGCCCCAGAGAAGCTGTCCGGAGCTCTAGGGCCCACGCATCGGAAAAAATTGGAGCGGCCGGATGTCTGAGGAGTTGACATCTCGTCCTCGGCAGAAGGCGGAGGGAGTCGAGCGAGGGCGCCTCCTCCGGCGGAAGGCTGGCGGAGGGCGGCGCAAGCAAGGAGTTGCCTTCCGAGAGATGCCCATTTTGTTGGGGTTCCAGGTCGCCGGAAACCGCCACCTGGGCTGGGCGCGCGGGTCCGCGCCGCCGCCGGCGCACGCGCCCGCGCCGCGACAGCGGCGGACGGGTCCCCGCCGCGACAGCGGCCGGCCTGGGAGGAGGGGTCGAATGCAGGGCTCGGCCTAAACGGTGCGTTGGCGATTTCGTGGGACGCTTTCGTTTCGACTTCGTTTTGCAGCATGGGCGAAGCGAAGACGAGGCGAGGGAAAGCGAGGGCACAACAAAAGCGACACCCACCGTTCAGGTCGAGCCCAGGTTGAGAGCCTCGGGGGGGGCCAGGCCACGGAACAAGAAAAAAAGAAAAAGAACAAACAAAAAAAACGGCTTTGGAGCCGAAGGAGAGGACCAGCACGTTGTCGCCATGTTGCCTATCTTCACCCTTCCCCCATCCATCCAGCTTCAGCCACCTCCATCCGTCGGCGCCGCGCCGATGGGGGAACCGACAGTTCCATGGCAGGGCTTCTCGGCAGGCGACAGGGCTTCTCAGGAGCCCTCCGGCCCTCTGAGGAGCCGTCTGCGGCTTCGGACAAGGCTCAGGAAGCTGCTCGGAAGGCTGGAGGCCTTCTTAGCCTTCCGGGAAAGCCCGCCCCCGTTGACTTCCTCCCTGGGCGCCCCGCAAGGTCCATCCATCTTCCTCTTTTCCTCCATCCGTCATTCGTCATGAGCTCACTACGCCCCCCCCAACACACGACTGTCTACCTCTCGGCCGTTCCTGCCTCGCGTGGCCCACATGGCGGCTGCAAGGCAACCCGAGAGGCTCAGAAAGTTAAAGGAGAAGGAGTTCATGGAGATCAGTGAGGCACCGCTCTAGCGGCCTGGCGCGACGACGACGACGACGACGACGACGACGACGACGACGACGACGACGACGACGACGACGACGACGACGACGACGACGACGACGACGACGACGGCGGCGGCGGCGGCGGCGGCGGCGGCGGCGGCGGAGGCGGCGGCGGCGGCGGCGGCGGCGGCGGCGGCGGCGACGCCGCCGCCGCCCAGGCTGCCGAAGGCCTCCGACGGCTGCCGAAGGCCCCCGAGGGTCGCCAGAGGCCTGCGAGGGCCGCCGAGGGCTCCGCCGAGGGCCGCGCCGAGGGCAGGCCTCCCGCGCGGGACCCGCCGCCAGCAGGCGTACGACACCCTGAGCGACAAGAAGAAGCGCAAGGACTCCGGCGCCGCGGTGGGCCGGGGGGCTCGCGCGGCAGGAGGAGGGGGAGGAGGAGGAGGAGGAGGAGGAGGAGGAGGAGGAGGAGGAGGGAGGAGGAGGAGGAGGAGGAGGAGGAGGAGGAGGAGGGCGGAAGGGAGGAAGAGGAGGAGGAGCAGAAGGAAGGAAGGCGAGGGTGAGGAGGAGGAAAAGGAGGAGAAGAAGAAGGGGGGAGAAGGAGGAGGAGGGAGGAGGAGAAGGAAGAGGAGGAGGAGGAGTAAGGAGTAAGGGTGTAAGGAGAAGGAGTAAGGAGTAAGGAGTAAGGAGTAAGGAGCAAAGAGTGGAGGAGGAGTAGGAGGAGGAGGAGGAGGGGGAGGAGAAGGAGGAGAAGGAAGGGAAGGGTGGAGGAGGAAGACAAGCAGGAGAGCTGAGGCTTTCTCTACCCGTCAGCCCCTTTCTGCGGGGGGCTCGCGGGACCTCTGGAGGTTTCCGGCCAGACCTCCACAGGCCGTCGGGGGGATTCTTGGAGGGCCCCACGGGCTTTCCAAGCTTTTCCAGATCTGCGACGACGACATATGTGCTTAAACCTGAGCCGGAAAAAAACATGTGCTTTAATGGGAGGTCCTCGATGTTGGTCCCAAGCTTAGCTGGGCTTAGCTAGCAGGACTTCGCAGAGCTTACCAGTGCATAGCAAAGTTTACCAAAGTTCAGCAGGGCGTGCCAAGATTCAGCAGGGCTGCGCAGAGCTTGCCAGGGCGTAGCAGTGCCTCGCAGGGCTCAGTAAGGTTTAGCAAGGCTTACCAGGTCCTGGCAGGGCTTAGCAGGGCTCAGCCAAGTTCAGTAGGGCTTAAGGCTTCGCAAGGCTCAGCAGGGCTTAACAAAGCTTGCCAGTGCCTAGCAATGCTTAGCAAAGCTTACCAGGCTTCGGCAGGGCCGAGCAAGGTTCACCTAGGCTTAGCAGGGCTCAGCAGGGTTTACTGGGGCTGAGCAGAGCGTGGCACGGGCTATCGAGGGTGGTGGGGGGCTTACCAGGGCATACCAGGGCTCAGCAAAGCTTAGCCGAGCTTAGGAAAGCCGAGCAAAGCTCAGCAGGGCGTAGCAGGGATTAGCAGGGCCAACCAGAGCTTACCAGAGCGCTGCAGGGATCACCAGAGCTTGGCAGAGCATATAAAGACTGGACATTGCTTCGCAAATCGTAAAGGCTTACCAGGGGGTCACCAAAGCTTAGCAAGGCGTCGCAAATGCTACCAGGGCATGCCAGGGCCGATCTGGGCTGAGAAGGCATAGATGGCAAACTAATGGCAGGCTGTGCTGACTAGTGAAGCTGCTGGCAAACTGAGTGCGTAGC